GCATGTCCACTCCTCTTCTCGAATCCTAGGTCTACCCTATGGCATGCTTCTCACAAAAATTTTTCAACACTTTAACGTGCCATTAGATGATGAACCTATTCTTTAGCCGAAACACACCGATATCATTAACATTAAAACCCTTAGTCGCATGAAAATTGTCAAAGGTGATGGGCAATGGGTGTGTCACACTCAAGACTTCGACAATGCTTCAGGCCCTACTACTTTGTCATTTATCAAGAAAGAGGCAGAAGAAGAGCTTGGTCATAATGATGATAATGATGGTGGTGATGGCGATACTGCACCGCGGGCACGACATAGGTCTACTTCACATGTCGCACCGACCTACAGCCAACAATTATCTGAAGATCAATTCAACATCCTCCAAGGACGCATTGATCTCTTACTACCACCATTACTAGCCAGATGGATGCTCTTGAGCCTCGAATTGAACAAATGAGTCTCTCAGAGGAGGCCTTCTTTGAACATATGTATTCCATCTATCCTCGCAGCCTTCCTCCTCCAACGGAAGATTGATCATGTCTAAGGGGAAAAATGGACTATGTCCTATTTTTTATTTGAATTGCTAAGACTTCCAATATAACTTTGAGTTATGCTTCATGATAACTTTTAATATGATCTATGATCATCTTTCACTATGTTTGATCTATTGATTTGGAAATATGACTTTGAATTGTTGAGACTTCCAATATAACTTTGATTTATGCTTTATAAAATGATCTATGATCCACTTTCATATTTAATTGGAAAATGTATTCATGAGTAAAAGATAGGGGGAACATTTTACATATATCTACAAATCACATATTGTTTGTCATAATCAGAAAGGGGGAAATTGTTGACATATGATTAGTTCCACTTGTTTTGATTATAACAAACAATATACTTATGGTTCTAACATATCTTGTTTCTTGAGTTTTCATGTACAAATATCCCTAAAACTTTCAAAGGTACAAATCGTCATCAACGAAGAGTGTGGAAACAAAAGAGACTCGAAGAGAACAAGAATTATGAAGACCAGTATTTTAGAAGTTATTTATCGAAACCTCGTTTATATGTAGAGGCATACTCATCAACTCTTAGCAAAGCAAATAAAACTCAAACTATGTTTCATAATTCATCACGTGCATAAAAACATTTTTAAAAATGAAGATGATTTTGGAAAGTGAACATTTTTGATATATATAGTAAATTAACTCCAAAATCCAGTCATTTCGGTCAACCGAAGTATGTTTCGGTGGACCGGTTTGATCGATCGAAGTATGTTTCGGTCGACCGGTTTGATCGACCGAAGTATCAACTAAAACTCCAACGGTTTGATTTTTGTA